CCGATCCGAGCCACTGTGGTCTGGGCTGTTGTAGGTACACAGAATCGCTCGCGTCAGCATCCAGTGCAACTCTACGGCTGGGTGAGGTCTTACTGTGGTCTGAGTCAGATGGCTACAGCTATTTACAGGATATAATCGGACGCCCCAGCTTAACTGGAGCCCTCTGATTCGATATTGTGCTCCACAGCGCCTCATGACAGAGACCCATGTGTTTTTGAATCTCCATAGGTGTCTTACAATTCGCTACAGCATGCATATATTATCAGTGCATCTCCTACGAGGACAGAAACCTGCTTGCTTAGGACGGATGTGTGAGATTTTTAGTTTCACAGCTGCTTGGCAGAAGCGGTCGGGCTGTATTCGCGACAGTTGCTGATAGGTTAGTGTTCCAGTATGTATCACAGATCGCCTTATTGCCTCCTTTGGGAATACACTAAGATCGGGGTACTCCAGTCGTCTGGAAATGCTTCCGGTCTTCAAGCAGAACACAGCTGGTGAAGTGGGTCAAGAGGCGCTGGGATGCAGTGTGCTATAAAGCTCAACACGGATGTCGTCTTTGTCTGGGCCAATGATGCCAATCGTTTTTGAGCAAGTGAGTGTTGTGCGCCCTAGGCGTGTTGTTGGGTGGTGATCCCATCTTGTGTGGATAAACATTGGATCTGACCCTGCCTAGTTACCACTTTTTGCCCCTCGACACGATCTGCGGTTCTTTAGTGATCTTCCAAGTCTGTTCTTCCAAAAAACATAGGGTCTGTCATTCGTTTGAATAGTCAAGCGAAGAAATAAATCACTCTCCACTTAGACAACGATAGGACAGCTAGATGATATCGAACAAAGCCGTATACGGGAGATTATTCGAAGCTTCGACTGTGCTTTGTTGCGGACCGTTTCACTTCAGTGTGTGGTCTTTAAACCTGGCCCATTTGAGTTGATTACCTACGCTGACTCCAGATATTCCATCAAGTGTGCGACGTATTTCCGGGCAATCACCCGGTAACTGTCAGGTGACGCTGACCTGATATCATGCACCTCCAGGAAACCGTCGTCGGTCGACGTGTTTGGTGATTCGGAAACGTTTTGTGTAAGCCCGTTTACGCATTGTCCAGGCTCGCAATGTCACCACCGCCTCGCTCTGATGTCTGGGAATTCAGGGGGAACCTAGAAGTACACAACAGCTGGGACTTTTTGTCCACGGAGTTCGGCATTGCGATCCCAAACTTTCTAACCCTGTGTATGGACTTGGCTACTGATCGTCGTTCGTGCGTTGCAAAAGTGGCCGGTTCAACTGTTGGAGTGCGAAGTTTACATCATCCAGCAAGTCAACTTCAATGAACTATGCTCATATCATTGTTGGTTTGTATAAGGCCTGACCAACCCCCTCGGTGACAATGCGAGTTGCACTGTTTGAGGTGATGTGTCAGTGTTTCAAGGAACCTTCGTTTTTCATGGCAAATTCTAAACTTTTTCAATGAATAACAAGGTGCCTGTGTCCACTCGAATTCCTCTCGGTCTCACTGATCAACCCGAAACCTACAGCGTACTTATTCACCAGTACTCCATACATATCATATAGACCTGTTTTAGAATGTTAATGAGTTAGTTAGAGTCCATTCACCATCAATGCACAGTGCACAAAGAAGGGAGCTACCCAGCCCACCGCGCACTGGTGGTGTCTTCTCAACCGGTGACGAAACATCTGCAAGTCGATTGCCAATCATGGCGGAACAGACGACCAGCCACCTGGCACTACAGTACATTCTATCAATGTATGTTTCAACGAACAGGGAAGCTGGAAAGGAAGATTTGCTCATTGGATTAAAGTTCCTCAAATGTTCTATAAACGTAGTGCATTATTCGCAGTGTCAAACAAAGTTCCTTGTCAATTCCGGTGGTTGCATCCATTTGAAACGAGACAAAAGTTGTGTTGATGGCGATTCTGGTGATGCTGAATACATTCATATGTATACGTCAGCTAGTTTTGTCGGGTTGATTATGTAACGTGGTAGTAAATAAACCAACGGCACTGACGATTTTGTGTTTTTGGTACTTTCGAACTTCGATTGCTTGCTTATCTGCAGCCGAGCTCACTGAGTACGATGCGAAACAGTTCATGGTCCGGTAATTAGGGACATGTGTTTGTTGCGGGGTTCCTCACTATTTTAATTGTACAACCACACTCACTGTCTATCGCGTTTGCTCGTATGGCTAACTGTGTATTGTTTGCTGAACTGGATCGAAGTCAAACATACCCATGTTTACTGATACTGGTCACAGTCCGATTTGTCTGGCATTATGCGCACGCTTCGATGAGTTACTGATCCGTAGCTATGAATAATTGTTTTTTTATCTGTGAGAATCTAACCCCTGGATTTGTTCAACCATTTCCTCCAACAGCTCAAAGGTTTTCATGGCAGGGCGCTGGACGAACAGGTAACAAACATACTTCATCAAACTCACTTGACACACAAACGTCATGCCTACACCGTGGCCCTTTCTGGCGGGATGCGACGTCGACTATCCATAGGTATGGCGCTCATAGGCGACTCAAAGGTGAGTGTGTTACGGCACATCCGCGAGCCGAATTTGTCTGGATATGTTGACACAAATGTAGTGAGAAGTTTCAGCCCAAAGTTAAGGCTCGGTGGGTATCCTCCATCTATTTTTTTTGACAAGAATTTGTTGATTTATTTTTGGTGATTGTAGTTTATTTTACACCACGTTCTGAGTACACTTCTCCACCGGCAACAAACCTGTGACATTCACTGCCTGCATGGAATAAACACTGTGTGAACCATTCTAAAGTCCCAGCATGAAATTTGCCCAAAATCGGCCGATTGTCATTGAATTACGAAAAGGACCTTCATTAGTAATAATAATAGTAATACTCATTGAGTAAGGGATTATTCACCAGGCCTGTGTGGTAATGGACCTCACGACCCCGCGTACATGTCACGTGCTACGATACGTTTGTGATGTTACGCGTCGCAGTTCAATATTTGGCATTCCTGTGGTAAACTGAACTAGATCCAAATTCGGCTGGGTCAATTCGTCTTTGATTCCTCCCTCCTTTCCGACCTCGCCGTCGTACAACTCTTATTCGAGCAACTACTTGCGTGGACTAACCCCGCTCCATTTCGTCGTTCAGGTTGTCATTCTGGACGAACCAACATCGGGCCTTGACCCAGAAGCCCGTCGTCAAGTATGGGCGATTCTACAGGCCCAACGCGCTGCACGAACCCTATTGGTCACCACTCACTATATGGATGAGGCAGATCACCTAGGTGATAGGATTGCAATCATGTCTGCTGGCAAACTACGGTGCTTTGGTTCACCGTTATTTTTGAAAGCCAAATACGGTGAGTTGATGAGGCTGAAATGGATTTTGTGCCGGTACCGAGATTGTTTCCTTGGTTGTATCTAAAACTACCCATTCCATCATGCGCCACATTTGGTAGAAGGGACGTTTTGCCGTTTTCCTGTTTGTTTTCTGTGCTCGCACTTAATCAGGTCCACCATCCACCTTCCAGATGATTGTTGCTCGTCAGCTGATTTTTCCTGAAACGGAATCATTTGTTTGTCTTCTGCCCACTACTACTAACACTACCCAATCTACTCTAGCTTGGATACAAGTTTCCATCTGAACTATCCAAACACGCATTTTTCTGTCTGCTGTTCTTTTTGATTAGATGCATCCATAAGCGATAGGCGCAGTGCAAATAAGCTTTGTCGTTGAACAATCTACTCTCAATAGCATTTGTGAGTACTTTTTTGGGGGGGACATCCTCTATTTTTCTCTGAGGGCACGGTAACCACATTGGGACTCCGGCCGAGTAGATAAAACGACGAAGACTTTCTTACGTTTATGTGGGAAATAGCCACTGAATGACGGGGACAACCGTGTGTTACTCCGTTTCATCGAGTCCTTCCAAGGCCGGACGGCGAGTCTCACAAAACCGTGCTGCTACGTCAAGAAACAATCCCTTTTCATTGGGGTTGAGCATAGCACAACGTGGAAGACCTTGATTTCCACATCATCTGGATTGTACATCCAAATGACCACTACAGTCTTGAAGTTACCCTATTGCACTGAGCTCTGTGCATCCGCAATAGCTGTGTTATCTGTGGGGCGAGATGACTCAGTGGTTAGAGCGCTAATTCACCGACCGGAAGGTGGTTCGATCGAACCCGACCTCTGCCTCTCGGCTTCCTCTCAGCCCTCGTGCTCTCTTCTGGTGGCAGGGTGCTACAGCTGAACGATTTTTCTGTTTGCTGATAAATTGATAATCGAAAATTGCCAGCTCCTTGGGGAATCGGAATTGTAAGCAACCGTTTTTGTGTACTTCCAATGCTATGAACATTGCTTGATGTCAACAGCGAGAGCACAATGGAAGTGTCACGACATTTGGAAAGCAACCTTGTGTTAGTTACCACGAACCTGTCGGTTTGTTCTACGTGGGATGGATGTAAAATCGAAGAAGACGACAGATAATAGGATGTTCTAATCAGTTAACATGATGTGCATTGATCTACGGGAGTTACGACACTTCATCGGGCTTTAGCGTTTCTATTTTGCTATATATATATATATATATATATCACAGAAAACTAGAATGCTATGGTAAACGATGCATGAATAACTGGAGAGCAATTTATCCCCAGTTAGAATATAGACAGCCTGGTGGTATAACTTACTACTGGGTTGAAGTAATGGCCGTGTGCGATTGTCGAGTTAATCGAACGTTTCAGCAACCATCCTTTGGGCATGCCACAGGAAGCTTTACTCAGATAACCTGGTGACGGAGTCCTCAAGTCGCTTTCCCCAGGATATCTCGCCGAATACTATCCGGAATCGGACCCAATGGGATTCTTTCAGTTGGTGCTTCCAAAAGACGGCCATTCGCTGAAAGATGACTTTTGTGACCGTATTCACGTGATTGCTATAAACGTGATTCGGTTGACTGTCATGCCTTTTTTGTTGACACAGTTTGTGGATTAAAGCCTCTCAACACATGGATTTCCCCCGAAATCAGTGGCCGGTAGCTCTCCTTTCATTTTAGGTGATTTACTACCCAATGATACTGCGCTCACGACCATGCGAACCATGTCCCATAGAAACGTATCGCAGTAGGTGCAATGTTGTGTCTGTTGTGGGTACCAGTAGTCGATGGTTGTATCCTATTATTACCGACCATTTAGATATTGAGCTTGACATGACTTAGTGATTAACGCGCGAGCTTACTGATCGGAGGGTCCGTGGTTCCAACCCAACCCCAATATTTCGCCTGCTCTTAGCAATGTCTCAGTCCGCTTACGTGGCAGCTATGCACCGAAAGAATGTTACGGCTGATCGGTTATTATTATTATTATTATTATTATTATTATTATTATTATTTCGTCAAAGTGGCCATTTCGCACACTTTCCCCGTAGAGGTGCCGAAGCCTTGCTTCGTCGAGGCCAGAACTATTTTCCGTCGTAAGTTCCTTTGGGTCGAACGTCGTTTCATTGGAAATCAGTCGGTCAAAAATTCCACAAGTCATTGAATCTACCGGCGTTGATTCAGACTGAGTCAGGCCGAGACCAAGATTTCCCTCATCTCCTATTTCATCTGTTGTCTAATTATTTTCATGGTCAGCGTTTGTGTTTGGTTCACTCTTCTCACGAACAGCGTTTGTGTTTGGTTCACTCTTCTCACGAACAGCTTACTGTTTTCCCTTGGCCACTTTTCCATTCTGTCCAACCTGAGCACAATAGGTGTCTTGGTATAGCCGCGTCTGCCCTGTGCCGACCTGTGTGGCTCAGTTTCGGAGCCAATGAAACCGGTTTCTGTTTCATGGCGTATTTTATCCAATTCAATGTTCATGTCAAAGGTTCGTTTCGTTACGCACTAACCGTCGATAGAACAGATTGTATCACAAGAGCATTTTCTGTTTTCGTTGACTTCTTTCGTCTTATTCCACTTTGAGCGCATTTTCCCGTGGGACATGGAAACCTTTGAACACTTTCTATCTTCCTTGCTTTACTTTTTTCGTGCCCCTTTCCTTATTCCCTTTGAATACTACGTTTTACCGTGGTTTTATCCTAGTGCTTAACGCCACACACTATCCGCCACTTTTCTTTCCAGGTGCCGGGTACTTGTTGACTATAATGAAATCAACAGACACCGAGTCTAGTTATCTCCTATCTCAGGTACAGCAGCACGTCAAAGGAGCGCAAATACGTAGTGATCAGGGCGACGAACTGAAATTTCTGCTGCCTTTGGAAGCCGTTGATACATTCTCGCCCCTTTTCTCAAATCTGGAGACAAACAAGGCGCAGTTGGGCATCCAAAGTTTCGGTGTATCTGTGACGACTATGGAAGAAGTGTTTTTGCGGTGAGTATTGTGTTTCGTCAACATCAGAATCTTCACCATTTCACTTTACTCTTTTTTCTTACTACTCTCACTTATATTCTACCTTGCAGGGTCAGTGAGCGAGATTTTCAAGACAAGGAGTCTGCACATCCGTTTTCATCATGTCAAAGCGAAACTGGTAGTACTCTCACTGACTTTCCAACAGTTTCCGTGCACCAAGCCTATGGTGCTTTTTCAGGTAACTCGCTTTTCATCGGGACTTTCATGGTCTTGACACGATGTATCATATGAATGTGATCAACTGTGTTTTAACCTCCCTATGACAGCACCGTCGCAGTTATCCTCATTTGAATGTCTTGATAATCGAGAAAGCTAGATTGACCGAGTAAACATGACGACCCCTTAACAAGGTCTCCTCACACGCATCAAGACACCAAAGCCCTCCTTGCGAAATCGCATCCTTGCCAGCTACCAAACCGGATACGTATGTATCTTTTTGCAGAACTCAGTCATCACTGTTTTCTGTGTCGCAGTTGTGGAAATCAATTCCCCTTTTTTTAGCGAAAATAATTAATCGTTCAGCTGCAACACCTTTTTGGTGCATAGCTGTCATGCCAGTCGACAGAAGCACGAGGGTCGAGATGCTGCCAGATGCCAAAGCCTAGAGAGGAGCAGTCGAGATACAGAGGTTGGTCTCGGTCCACGGGTCTTCCTTTCAGTGTGTTCTGCCTTACTGAGCACCGAGCTATTTCGAATCCACTCTTTCGAGTAGCCTGTCAAGGAGGGGGGCTGTTCGTCTTTCCGCAAGCTTTCGATGAGCCCTTAACATCCGATACGATCCCACAAAATTGCACAGAATAGTGTTAGTCCAACTAGCAGCACCGATCGTTGGCGTCGCACGTACTGAAACTAGGTGGATAACTGTGATGCTGCAAAGGGCTTGCAAGTATCCTAATCAAACTTATCGATGGCATGTTAAAAAACAAGAACAGTGTCGCAAATGGAGTAGGGCGGGGCGTTTCTTAGCCTCACTACTATCCTTTGATCATTTCGTCTGCTCCAGTGTAACCCCTGCTTAGTCCAGCTCAATGGGCGAGAGAATCAGAATATTCGAACAAGAGTAATGTAGCTATGCTTTCGACAGATGCCACAACTACTCACGAGTAACGGGTACGATATGGTGACGAGAGATTGTTGCGATCAAGCTCTGAATATCCCATGACCATCTGCAAATGGAGAGATCAGCTAATTTGAAAGCTAAGATGTCAGCATCTGTTTGCTTTCTTGGTCCAGTCAGTAGGTTCTCTCTCCGTAACCAGGTGAAAAATAACCAGCTCGATTTTCCCTTCAGAGGTCTCCGTTCCTGTTCGTTCTAGCTATCAAAAGTCGAACTCCTTTTCTTAGTGGGATCAATCCCTCATGCAAAGAAGTCAAATATTCACTAGTTAATTGGGTAAAGGGTTTGTCACGGAGTCGAGTTCGTAACGCGTCCTTTGTCGGTTTTTGGGACCTGCGGGTTATGGTGTAACGGCGATACTACTGACGGGGAGGCATGCGACTAGTATGTTTTGTTCTTGTAAATTCGCTTTGCGTCTCTTGAAAAGGGAGATCTGTTGCGGAATTTTTGGAGTCGTTTTGTAGCATTTGCTTGGGTTTGAGCAATGAATGATTGAAGTCAATGAATATCCACGAACTTTTAAGAAGACGCATTCAGGAGAAGATGGATGTCCAGTTTTTGTAAATAAAATGCAAATGAGAGTTTTGCTTCCCTGTCCAATAGTCTGTAACTCCGCAGCGAAGGCCTTCTTCCTTTCAATGATAACAAAACCAGATGGTAGTTGGTGATATTCTTCTGGCAGTTGCCACTGTGCATTTCGTTTCTGAGTTTTCACAAGAACGCGAGACCTTGGAACTTCATTTCAGAATATTTGTAGAATGATACACTTTTGAGAAACCGAAGGTGATTCTATGTTTGTTGCCCTTTTGATAGACTATAGACCCGGGCTGAAAGTAGTCACTTTTTGGATGGCTTCGTCTTTGAGATGTGCATCAACCGGCCAATCAGAAATTGCCCCTTCTGAAGCATAATCTTTTAGACGGAATAACTGTACATGCAGTTTGGGCGCTATGTTCACTAAGTTATATTTTCTTTCCTCTCAATATATGTACTCTAGTTCTCTGTCCGCTTCGTGCATTACTGCGTCACTTCCATCCTATCAGTGCGCGTAACAGATGGGGGTATTTAAGATCAGATGAAATTGCAGTTGACGGTCAGAGTATTTATAGCTCTACAGTCACTTGTTTTCGTGGTATGAATCCTCCACTACCCTGGCGATAAGCATACGGGTGTTAATTTGAAAGAAGATGTAGCTCCCGATTATGCTTCTACGGAGACTAACACCAATACGCTTCTGTGTGGTTTCCCCTGACGAAAAACCTTAAACTGCCCAATTTTATTCCTTGTTTTCAGTTATACGAAGCCTATCGTCATCTTATTTCACTAATCTTTCACAGATACAGACGTTCAAGAGTTCCGGCACTTTGGGGCTGCCCTATTCTGGCAACAACTTTCCGCGTTGCTCACCAAACGTTGCATCTATATGCTACGTCATCCCGTGGTCATACTTAGCCAGTTCTGCATTCCCTTCACTCTATGCCTGATTGCATTGTTCATCTTCCGTCATCTTACGACCATGACACATTCGGATGATCCCTGTCTAGCACTCTCACTAGCACCGTACGGTAGTGGATTGATTGTGACATTCGCCAATGAGGCGAATGATACGTCCTCAGACGCTTCCGCCTCAATATCCGAGCAGATGCTGTGGGCTTACAACTCCCAATTTGATACCGGTCAGGTTCGCACTCGTCGTATGGTGCCGGCACAAACGTACGAGGTGAGTTGTATTTGATTTGTTAGACGTCAGCTTTCGCCACAACCAGTTCTCTGCCGGCAAGCACGTGACGATGACTTGATTTTGGGTAAGGTTGTAGAGAGTTTCGCTTTTTACGACGAAGTTTCCTCATACGTTGTGTACTATTATACTCCGATCCATTGGTGTGCAGTTGTACCAGATTAAAGGTTCTTGGAACCTTTGTTGAAGATGGGCGGCAGACAGAAATGGAGGCCGTACGAATGATCGGTGGTCTAAGTGAGACTTTTGGGCACAAATTCCGATTAATTGGACCTATAATTTGTTTGATGCACCACTTTTACTCTCCTTGACATTCGACTTCTATCATATAATGCATAGCACGTTTTAGTCTCCAGAACGCGCAAGCAGGTGGAACGTCCTCAGCTCTTTCCCGTCGAACCAAAATTCTGGTGCTCTCACCGTAGGTAAATCTGGCACCGTTTTGATGGACTAGTATATTTGTCGTGTGTCTTATTGATCAAGCGACATGTTCCCCGTGGTCAGTATAACTAACCACGTGATGCTGTCCGCTATCCAGTATCTTGATTATAAGCTGTTTTATTTGACTAAACTGACCGGTTTTTCGCGCTTTGTTTCCCCAGGAGGATTTACTTGCAGAAACCGGTGAGGCAAAAGTCTTCGAATATCGTGCCAAGTATATCATTGGTCTGGTAGTTCAGTCCTCACAACACGAGAACAACGATACATCTTCCATCTCGTTACGTGGCTATTTCCAGGGTGAATCTTTCCACTCTGCGCCTGTTGCATTGAACGCATTGAGTAATGCTGTTTTGCGGCTACTTTCTAATCGCTCATCGGAGCACCCAGTATGTCTTTCGTTGTTTTTAATTCTTGGAAACTGTCAACTGCATGTGGTTTTCTTGTGTTGCGCCCTTTCGATGCATAGCTAAGTTCGCGCATTCAACAGGCATGAGTGGTGTAGGTCTCCATCTAGTTGCCCACTGAATCAGTTTGCTCATTTCTGGTTTGCTTTTTTTTTACGGGCGTTTACTGTTAATGTGTTTGTCATTTGAAATTCAGCTGTATCATCTATCCACGTACTAGGCTACCCAAAGTAAGTTCGAGCAGACTTATTTTCATACACCCTGAAATCAATCCTGATCCGTCGCTACAAATCGCATCTGGATTGATCACCATTAATAGGATTGAATACGGTAGTTCGGAAGTGTAAGAGTGTCATTTAGTTGATGGCCTCATCTGCATAGCAAGACGCAGAAACGCCAAGCACTTGGCTCTATAGGTTTAGTGCACTTCTACGTCACACGTCTGGCGGATCAGCAGCGTTGTCAGAATGCCGCATCAGCTCACATCCTCATAAGGCACTTTGTAAACACGGTTGTATGTTTTGCGCACCAGCTTTATCAAATAGAATAGTAGGGAGCCATACTTACTTCCAAATGAATGTGTAACTCTGCACTTTTCAAAGAAGGTGGTGAAGCTTTGGCAAACAGTGACGATCCTAGTGCGGAAGATTTGTGACAAACTGGAATACCATTGGAATGGGGTGCCTCGACAACAATTCTAGCCTTCAAAAGGGAGCGCGAGAATGTCATGCGAAAACCATTGTAGCCGTGACATCCAAGGTGCTCTCTGTTATCGTTTTGGCGCAGATTGATCGATAATCGGGGGAAACCGATTCTTGAGAATCAAGTTGAGCCTCGCCTGGGCCGAGGATGCATCGAACGTATCTTTAGCTTAAGACAAGTTCTTGAGCAGTGTCACGCCTTAAATTTGTCGTTTTTCTTGACCTGAATGTTGCTTTTAACTGATAAACTGAGCTGAAGTGAACCATGAATCAGGTCCCTGTTTTTGCTTGCTGGAAATCACCAAGCAGGACTTTCTCGGCCGGTGGTTTAGGGCGTAGCTTCCTAGGAATCGTGGCCAAACTAATTAGAATGAACATCCAATTCTGACCAAGCTATGAAATCTGAAAGTATAGGGGTGCTTCAACTCTGTAAGCCCACACTCAGGTTGCCGCTCCGTCATTTCCCTTTTCTCACACAATCGACTATGCCTAGGTCTCCACCGGTCACCGATTGCAGCTACTTCAAAGGGTGAAAACTTGTCCCGGACAACTTAATTCTTAGTTCCCTCTAATTTACCTTGATAGATATCTCTCCCGTACGGTAGTGGATTGATTGTGACATTCGCCAATGAGGCGAATGATACGTCCTCAGACGCTTCCGCCTCAATATCCGAGCAGATGCTGTGGGCTTACAACTCCCAATTTGATACCAGTCAGGTTCGCACTCGTCGGATGGTGCCTGCACAAACGTACGAGGTGAGTTGTATTTGTTTTGTTAGACGTCAGCTTTCGCCACAACCAGTTCTCTGCCGGCAAGCACGTGACGATGACTTGATTTTGGGTAAGGTTGTAGAGAGTTTCGCTTTTTACGACGAAGTTTCCTCATACGTTGTGTACTATTATACTCCGATCCATTGGTGTGCAGTTGTACCAGATTAAAGGTTCTTGGAACCTTTGTTGAAGATGGGCGGCAGACAGAAATGGAGGCCGTACGAATGATCGGTGGTCTAAGTGAGACTTTTGGGCACAAATTCCGATTAATTGGACCTATAATTTGTTTGATGCACCACTTTTACTCTCCTTGACATTCGACTTCTATCATATAGCATATCATAGCACGTTTTAGTCTCCAGAACGCACAAGCAGGTGGAACGTTCTCAGCTCTTTCCCGTCGAACCAAAATTCTGGTGCTCTCACTGTAGGTAAATCTGGCACCGTTTTGATGGACTAGTATATTTGTCGTGTGTCTTATTGATCAAGCGACATGTTCCCCGTGGTCAGTATAACTAACCACGTGATGCTGTCCGCTATCCAGTATCTTGATTATAAGCTGTTTTATTTGACTAAACTGACCGGTTTTTCGCGCTTTGTTTCCCCAGGAGGATTTACTTGCAGAAACCGGTGAGGCAAAAGTCTTCGAATATCGTGCCAAGTATATCATTGGTCTGGTAGTTCAGTCCTCACAACACGAGAACAACGATACATCTTCCATCTCGTTACGTGGCTATTTCCAGGGTGAATCTTTCCACTCTGCGCCTGTTGCATTGAACGCATTGAGTAATGCTGTTTTGCGGCTACTTTCTAATCGCTCATCGGAGCACCCAGTATGTCTTTCGTTGTTTTTAATTCTTGGAAACTGTCAACTGCATGTGGTTTTCTTGTGTTGCGCCCTTTCGATGCATAGCTAAGTTCGCGCATTCAACAGGCATGAGTGGTGTAGGTCTCCATCTAGTTGCCCACTGAATCAGTTTGCTCATTTCTGGTTTGCTTTTTTTTTACGGGCGTTTACTGTTTATGTGTTTGTCATTTGAAATTCAGCTGTATCCTCTATCCACGTACTAGGCTACCCAAAGTAAGTTCGAGCAGACTTATTTTCATACACCCTGAAATCAATCCTGATCCGTCGCTACAAATCGCATCTGGATTGATCACCATTAATAGGATTGAATACGGTAGTTCGGAAGTGTAAGAGTGTCATTTAGTTGATGGCCTCATCTGCATAGCAAGACGCAGAAACGCCAAGCACTTGGCTCTATAGGTTTAGTGCACTTCTACGTCACACGTCTGGCGGATCAGCAGCGTTGTCAGAATGCCGCATCAGCTCACATCCTCATAAGGCACTTTGTAAACACGGTTGTATGTTTTGCGCACCAGCTTTATCAAATAGAATAGTAGGGAGCCATACTTACTTCCAAATGAATGTGTAACTCTGCACTTTTCAAAGAAGGTGGTGAAGCTTTGGCAAACAGTGACGATCCTAGTGCGGAAGATTTGTGACAAACTGGAATACCATTGGAATGGGGTGCCTCGACAACAATTCTAGCCTTCAAAAGGGAGCGCGAGAATGTCATGCGAAAACCATTGTAGCCGTGACATCCAAGGTGCTCTCTGTTATCGTTTTGGCGCAGATTGATCGATAATCGGGGGAAACCGATTATTGAGAATCAAGTTGAGCCTCGCCTGGGCCGAGGATGCATCGAACGTATCTTTAGCTTAAGACAAGTTCTTGAGCCGTGTCGCCTTAAATTTGTTGTTTTTCTTGACCTGAATGTTGCTTTTAACTGATAAACTGAGTTGAAGTGAACCATGAATCAGGTCCCTGTTTTTGCTGGAAATCACCAAGCAGGACTTTCTCGGCCGGTGGTTTAGGGCGTAGCTTCCTAGGAATCGTGGCCAAACTAATTAGAATGAACATCCAATTCTGACCAAGCTATGAAATCTGAAAGTATAGGGGTGCTTCAACTCTGTAAGCCCACACTCAGGTTGCCGCTCCGTCATTTCCCTTTTCTCACACAATCGACTATGCCTAGGTCTCCACCGGTCACCGATTGCAGCTACTTCAAAGGGTGAAAACTTGTCCCGGACAACTTAATTCTTAGTTCTCTCTAATTTACCTTGATAGATATCTCTCATCCGCCATCCTGTGATCGGGTCACATATATTATATTATAATATTATTATTATCATATACATTAAATGCATACCTATTGGGAGGAAGAGAACTGTGATCTGGTTTTCCTTTTACTGAACTATCACGATGTGATGTTGACCTTAGATTTACCGTTTCATGGCGTTCCTCGCTCTTTAACCAGCTGATAAGCCTTTCTTATCCATTTAGATCTGTTCTGTTCACCGGAGAGAATATTCTCCTTGGATTCCGTTCCGATTCCCTTCAGATTATAGCAATTTTCAGAATATGCGCTGTGCCTTCATCTCTGAAGAAAGGCGTGAAAACAATTAGTGTTTGGCCCAACGTATAATGGTTTGGTCTCAGAGTGAACAGGTTTTCCTGGGCAAGACTGGCATTAATGCAGAGAATTGCATTTTGGTTGGTTTTTCCAACTGGGGTTCAACATACGCAGATTAATTTACTTGAAACGAAGTCCTTCTTATGGGTCTCTCCTTGACATTCGACTTCTATCATATAGCATATCATAGCACGTTTTAGTCTCCAGAACGCACAAGCAGGTGGAACGTTCTCAGCTCTTTCCCGTCGAACCAAAATTCTGGTGCTCTCTTACCGACCGGAAGGTCCGTGGTTCGAACCCGATCTCTGCCTCTCGACTTCCCCTATCTAGGCCTGGGCAAGCTGGCAGTATCCCAGCCTGGTGCCCCCTATGTATGGCATGGCAGCTAGGGACCGAAAGGGCACTACAGCTGAACGATTTTTTTGAACCCGAATTGACCGTCACTCAGACTCGTTTCGTTCCGAGTCGAAGTGGCGTATTGAGGGTGCCGAACCTCAGCCTGTACACACCATATTAGTTACTGGTTGGTGGCGTTTCTTAGGCCCAATTTAAGTATGCACACGACGTCAAATTTGACTTCCCTCTCGTATTTTTACCTGTATTACTTCGGATCATACAATGTGCATACCAAAGTCCACGCAACCATGAATACACAAGTAAGAACGGGTGTCTGAGGTTTAATTAAGCTGTTTGTGGATTCATATGCCTTCAACTTCTTGGTCTTTGGTCATAGTTTCGTGCACTACTGACAATGTACTCCATATCTTGCGTTAGTTCACACATTTTTGCATTTCCCATGCATCTAGTTCGAATGTCCGAACATGCCCGTTATTACCAAAACCCCACCTCGCATCTCGACGTTCAACCAACCTTTGCCGAGGACCGTGTCCGAACAAGCGAAGCGGTTGAACACCACTGATGGGCTGCTGATGACATTGATAGCTGGGTTTCCGTTCGTCTCGAATGTGCTGTTGGCATTGTCCTATTTAGCCGCGACGTTTGCACTACCGCTTATCTACGAGTACACCACGAATGCCAAACATTTGCAATTTGTTTCTGGAGTCAAGCTCCGTAAGTTAATTGTTCCCAGACATTGACTTATCTTGTCCGATGAACACCATAGTTATTCGATTCATGTTTGATTGGGTTTAGTCTGTTCGTACTGGAACGCACCAGACCAAGAAAACAGAACTGATTGTTTTGGATGTCACGTGGATTCTTATTCGTCTAATCGTCTCTACACGTCCAGTGTAGATTAGCCACGCGAACAGTACCTCGTCCCTTTTTCACGGGACTGCATCCCGTCCTTAGCACGGTGAAGCTGACTTCAGCCCACTGATTAAATCCATTTCGTCTAACTACATTCGGAAACAATCGATTTTGTGCTGTCTGAATGTCTGGCTGAGTTTTTGACGTCTCAGTGTGCGTTCCATGCCAACTGGCGGGTTCAATGTCCGAATCGCCAGGTACATCTTTTCGCTCCGGTGAGGTATCATTTGGCATGATCGGACAGCTTAAACTGCACCGTTTTCCTACTAACCGCCACACGTAATTCGTGTAATTCGCCATCCGCTGCACAGAAATAACCTTCGTTTGACGTCCATGAATTTAGGTTTTTATCAATTCGAGTATCAATGATTTCTTGTACCTAAGAAACTATCCTGATTCCCAAATAGCCTCCGTGGTTTCTGGGATGCCTGTATGTTTGTTCAAAACTATTTTTCCTCACTCACAGTCCCTTATTGGTTGTCGAACTACCTGCTGGACATGCTTACGTTTCTTGCCGTGTGTGCATCCATCGTGGCTACTTTTGCAATTTTCAATCTCGAGGAATTCGACACTCACAGTCGCCTATATCTGGTCGCTCTGCTGCTGCTCGCCTTTGCCTGGGCTATACTTCCCCAAATGTACTTACTGTCACGTTTTTTCAAATCTCCGACATCCGGCCTGGTTTGGATAACCGTCTACAATGAGTTCAGTGGTGAGTACGATTTCTGGACATGGTTTCCAGGATCTTTTTCTTCAATGTATAGATTTGTTGGAATAACTTCCTCATCAGCAATGCCTATCTCAGCCTATCTCCGTTGGAAATATGATGTGGTGGTCATCTCAGTGAAATTGAGGAAATAACGAGACGATTTTTATTCCTTAACGTTCCAGCAAAATGAATTATCCTCTTGAGGAATGAAATAACCGGAATAAGAAAAGAAAATAGGTCGACTAGCACCTACATTTACGTTCTACGTTTAAGTGGCCATCCTGAGTGAGGTAAAGCTCAGCACAGCCAGTCAAACCATTGTTTGATGTTACTCTTTTTTCGTAAACGCACTGTGAATGTGGCCTGGACCGAGACAGGCGGATTGAGCACGAACGGCCAATTCTTTTTTTAAAGAAAAACTGGATGTCAGTGTTAATTGAATAGTTGACTTGTACTCACGCAATTCAGTACCAACGATTGGCATGGCGTTGTTTTTTGGTACTGCTCTATGAAGGTTCAGTAGTCTTTTTGATCAGCACCAAGTTTTTGCCGTATGAATTTATTGGACCCTCTCAACGTGGTTACGTCTTTACAAAGGTTACTTTCTTGAAGGGATACAATCCAAACAACTGGTAGTCAGTCATTCCCCAAATACCTTACAATCGTCCGAGACCAATGCGTTCTAGTTAAGTCACTTAGAGCAGCGGAAATTCGTCCTAACATGCATAACGAATGAGCAGTGGTCCACGGTCCCATCAACCAGCAGTCATTGCTATTCCTCCGCGCTTACCATCGTTCCTTTGGGTTCTGATGATAACCTTTTTTATGGTGCTATGTGACTTGAGATGCCACTTAGCTGATTCGCGTTCATTTTCCCAATGATGTTCAAAATAGAAGAGATAATCATTTAGCTGTAACAACCTTTCGGTGCCTAGCTGTCTTGGCACTCGAAGGAAGCACGAGGGCTGGGATACTGCCAGGTTACCTAAGGCTAGACAGATGAAGTCGAGAGGCAGAAGTCGGGTTCGAACCACGGACCTTCTGGTCAATAAATTCTCGCTCTAACTACTGAGACATCTCGCCCCCAATGATCTTTACCCTTTTTCTAGTGTAAAAGGACACTTTGTTTTTCAGTGCAAGTTGGCAGACAGCCGCAACATCCCATTGTAAGCGTCGCACGCATTCTAGACCCAAATTACAGGTTGCATTAGCTCGAATGAACACAGAATACGCTGTTGGCTATGTATAATGAGGGAGGCCGGAAATATTCATCCACAAGTCGTACTCCATTTTAAAAAGTCTTCATTACGAGTAAATTGTTACGTAGTGCCATGCGAACATCAGCACAAGACTCGTCTGATTTTGAGCCATATTCAACGTCTTGACAGGTTGTGTCAAACAGTGGTAATTGACCGGCCATGAGAGTTCCAATCGAATGGCCATGACAGATATGATGTCTTCAGAAATAGTAATCAGGCATATAGGTTCTTCATAGATATCTAGATGGCTCAAGTAGTTAGAGGCGAATTTACTGACCGGAAGGTCTGTGGTTCGAACCCGACCTCTGCCACTCGACTTCCCCTGTCTAGGTTTGGGCGACCTGGCAGTATCCCAGCTCTCGTGCCTCCTTTGGTGACATGGCAGCTAGGCACCGGAAGGGTGCTACAGCTGAACGATAGATATCCCCTAGGTGGACAAACCGAGTTTCATGTATCGCTTCTTGTATTTCTTGGAGATGAACCAGCTTCGGCTTGACCACCTGGTACTCGCTAAATACATACAGACATTTTGCAATAAACCTTTCGTGTATTTTCACTATCCTTGCTCATATGTATAACACGGTTGGATTGCCCGATTTTTATAACTGGTTCCGAAAACTGTAGACAGACTAATGTGGATCAGGCTATCTGTTATGAGTTGTCTCCAGGCAACGGAGTTTTGCAGACACAATTCAAATCGCATACCATCTATCATCCCAGTTGTGCAAGGCAATGGACTTAGTATCCTGAAAGTACACCTGTGATAACTGCTTTGAACATGTGGAAACATTGGCAAAATTGTCAGTTTTCTTTGAACAAATATATGAAGAGCCAAGCAAAGTTATCCTCGTGTGGTAATGGCCACTTAGGTTTTGTTTTTCTCTGAAAGATCGCTCACCGCATAACTCACATGTCCTTTCCTAGCATCTATCACTATTTGGCACATTCTGTTCAAATTCTGAACAGACGTCTTCTCTCATCCCGCTGTCTACACCCCCCCTCGGATTGATGCACGAGGATGCTGCTGCATTCATTCTGAGTTGAGGTGTTCTACAGAGAGTGGTAAGACCTGGATCACTTCAACTCCCTTCTGTATGGCTGAGTTACATACCTTGGTACAGTTACGCGAATCACGTAGTGATCAATACAAGTGATTTTTCTATAAATAGCTGTCGTGCCACCCGAGGGAAACACGAGGCTGAGGTATTGCTAAGCAGCCGAGGCCTAAATGGGTGCAGTCGAGATGCCGTTTCTTGTCCTTCTGGAGTCCGGTGAATTGTACGCTCTCCATTTTTGTGCTTGGCAACTCGTCCGGGCTTCCTTTACTAGTCTTTCTTTTCTCCCCGTTTCATATCCTTTTCGTTTCCTTTTCCAGCTGCGATCGGTCTGCTAACCGTAGCAATCCTTTGTCATCCCGCCGTGCATCAGCAATCGTTGTCCTACTCGCTGGAACGCGTTTGGATTATTCTGTCACCCACATTCAGCGTTTCCGATGGTCTGTTTATCGTGTTTGACAACTACGTTTTCCGTCGCCTCTGCGACAGTCCGGAGATGGAATTCTTCTGTCACTTGACGAAATCTACGATGCCCTGTTGTTTAAGTGAGTTTTTAGTTCTCATAAAGGAAACTACTCACAAGATTGCTGAAAACTCTTCGGCAGCCCACGTCCGGTTTCGCCCTTCTTGGGGCTCATCAGGTAGGCGCAGGTAGAACATAATAAACGAGAGATTCACTTGAATCTCTTGTGATAACCAAATTGATTTGGAAATGAGTGTATTTCCATAGACAACCCATGTTTTGCTGGACAGTGACTGAAGGAAAACGGCCCTAACCAAACCGGGTTGGTATGTAACATCTTCCGGCATAGGACACACGCATGTGTTGGACTGTCACAGGTAATGCGCAATCCTTTCGACCATCTTTTGCGGACGATTAATGAACTTTGTAAGTTGGAACCATTGTTAAACAGTTTATAGATGATGCACCATACTGCGATACCATTCGGTGCACATCCGACTCACTCCGGATCTAGTGCCATTTCTTGTTGTCCCAGCACTGCGGATAAATATGGATTTGATGCTAGTCGTGTTGATAATCAATTTAGTAGGCATCCGGTGGTCTGTTAGCCGTTGAGATACCAAGACTAGGTGGGCAGTTCGTCAATCACTTTCAATCAGCGCTGTGACATACCTGAGGAGATTCATTGAGTTTTGACAAATCGGTATTCGGTGAATTCTTTCCAGTTGAACCAGTGTTCCTTTGCCTCTCTCACAGAAACCTGCAAACCGTTCTGCGCCTATTGGACTGTACGCGAGTTGTCTTTCGACCGCGGAGCAATCGGTCTCAATCTGTATGCGTTAATCTTTCAAGGTCTGTTTTTCAATATCCTCGTCTTATTCCTGGATAGCATGGCAGCACAACGTCTACAGCTGTGGGTGAGATCAAGTGAGTTCCTCCCGGACTTTATCGATGAATTTTATCTCTCCGATTTAATTTACTCTCTCACAGAAACCTGCAAACCGTTCTGCGCCTATTGGACTGTACGCGAGTTGTCTTTCGACCGCGGAGCAATCGGTCTCAATCTGTATGCGTTAATCTTTCAAGGTCTGTTTTTCAATATCCTCGTCTTATTCCTGGATAGCATGGCAGCACAACGTCTACAGCTGTGGGTGAGATCAAGTAAGTTCCTCCCGAACTTTATCGATGAATTTTATCGCTCCGATTTAATTTACTGCTCTATCACATGCGTTTCTTCCCCCCCAACCTCATGGTATGCACTGTAGAATTTTATTGCTCGCCTGATGCGACTTAATAACACTTGATAACTATATCTTCATGCCTTACCATATATTTCAAAGTACCTCACATGCCTACTTTGTCCCTTTTGTTCCTGGTGTGTTCCCTGTGATGTAGTTTTAGTGCTTTCGGGTCATACCCTACCGGTATACGTACACCTGGTTGCTCGCACGTACATGCGGGGGTTGTCAGTCAGTATGCTATATACATTCGCTTTTGGGGTGAACATTCTAATCGATTGATGACGTTATTTTCGGCTTTATGACGCCTAAGGGACAGCTTATTGATGCTACGTGCCGGTTAGACTGTCGTCAGTCCTCGTGAACAGCTTTTCTAAAAACATTTCACATACACATGGAATCAGAGATACCTACGTCGGTATCAACTACATGCTGCCCCAAATGTGCTTTCTTTTCATCCAAGGACGCTTCTCTGGGGTTTGCCTAATCGGCCCTCGGATGTGCTTCTTAGAGCAGAAAAGGGTTCCTGTATAACCATTTCTTCTTTACTAGTTCTTGTGTATGGATTGTTTACAGCGTCACACCAATTTCGCGTCGTTCTGCCACTGCCACATCGATCGTGTGGTTGTTTTCATCCTTTTTTGAAGTTGACGTTCATTCACTCGGTGCACTAATGTCCTATCGGGTTACCCAAGTATCCTTATTTCTGCAATAGGACCCAGGCTTTACTGAAAATTCTCCGGAATATCCCCTTTTCGTGGAACTCTGTAATGAAAAACAGGAGATCGGTTATTCACCTGTTCGTCAGCATTGATTCACAAACGTCTTCCGCTGTTCAGGGAGACATTGTCAATGTGCTTTTGGGGGATGGCTCTTCCTGTCCGGAACAAAATCATTGATTCACTGCAACTAACCATGGTTTGTACACTGGTAGTCACGGGCCGTACTACTGACGTCATTACAAGTTGCACAAAGATATAGGTGTTTCAAGGCCGGACATTCATAGGTTCAGGAATGCAGTGGGAAACAAATAACTTGGTTACATTTGGTTGAAGTGTGACCCGCATTCCGTGAAAACGGTTAGCTTTTCTCCATTTTCTTAGCCGTGTTCACATCTACTACTAAAACAAATAGATTTGGTCGTATCTCAAAGGGTTCACCTGTTCTCTTGTAGTCTGTGCTCGTATGCTCAGCATCCTGCTTGGCTGTGGAAAGTGTGCGGGTACCAAACGCTGTAGTTTGGCCTCTTCTAACTCGGAGTTAACTACTTTGGCCTTAGAGGATGAAGACGTGCGGCAGCATCGTCATTTGATCGAATCCATGCCTCTGGGTCGTCTAACAGATCAAACTAGGTGAGTTTCACTGCGCAACTTGCCTATGGCTCTGTAGAAAATGTGTTCAGGAGCAAGGCGCTCGTTTCTGTTTCTTTATTTATTGCGACTTTGTAACTTTTCGAACGGATCGTTCATATTTTCTGTAGCTACATTTCACTCGGTAGACGATTGTTTAACTTACTCCATTTTACTGTCAGTCTCGTCCTCCGTCACGTTACAAAAACCTATGGACCCGTTATTCCTGGTCGACAGTCACATCGAAAACCTGCTGTGGACTGTCTGACCTTGGCCGTACTACCCGCCGAATGTTTTGGTCTGCTGGGAGTCAACGGCGCTGGAAAAACCACAGCTTTTCGGATGCTGACCGGCGATCTCGATCCGACTGAAGGAGATATATTTGTAAATGGATTTGAACTGAAAAAAGATTTGCGAAAGGTAAGTCGCCAACCCCTTCGCTGACCGATTTACGTGTTATATTCATGATCTGAAAGTAAACAGAAACAGGCGATTGCGCGCAAATCAGCTGTCACACCCCTCGTACGTTCACAAAATCCGACCATTGGGTCGAACCGCCCAGTGGGCAGATCACGTGGGCGTACAATGCACGCACGCACTGATCGTTATGAGTGGGTCGGCCTGTCAACCCTTCAACTGCTTTCACACTTATACTATGCCTGTTACGGTAAGAAAATCGAATCAATAGTCAACCGTAGCCAGTCGTGATGATGTGACCTGATCGTTGTAACTGCGATACTGGTGCCTTGCATGCAGAGCCGAATGATTGCAGTCGTTCGGTGGCAAGTGGGGGACTTTTGAGAAGCTCAGGGAGATGTAGACCTCCGGCTTTAAAAACATCTGCTGGAATTTTGATTGTTGGTCCGACTTGATTCATTTGATACTTCACCATCGCTCACTAACCACCTAATTTCATGTATCGTTGATGGCACATGTGTTGTAGAGTATGCTGTCATTTCAAGGTGTGTTTCAACCTTTCGGTAGTTATCAGCGAGACTCTGCACGCCCAAAGGAGCAACGCACTGCGGGAGCAACCGTTTTTACCTTGTTCACGCATAACAAGAGCTTTGTCTTCCAGTAACATGCCGCACGTGCACCGGGGCCAAAATGGTCAGTCTAAAAGCTTCGAAATGTTGCCACGATTGCTCCTCCTATTGACTCTCCATCTCACACAGAACAAACTCGGTGATACAATGAAGCTATGAGGAATGAGCGGCCAACAGTATTCAATAACTACCACATATTCAAGTCCGTTGCAAAATAATGTGGGGGGGGGGGTTTGCTCGGCTTATCGTGAAGCAGATCTTGGTCCTGCCATTGTGGGTAGATATACTCGTCCGACAATGGTTTGTACGTCGTGTTCTACTGTTAGTTCTGCTATTGCGTTTGCTTGGGTTCACTACCGTTCTCGTTAAATTGGTTGTATGATTCGTTTATCCTGTCCACCTACATTGCTACTGATCAAAACGTGACTGGGAAGAAGATTGTCTCACGTGACCAGTGTCCCATAGTGTGCGTTTGTTGAATAAATTGATGCCAGCAAATCACAAACGGTAGGAAGAATTCAATCATACTGTTTTGCTAGCCTAGCGGATTAGACGTGCTATCTGTCACCAGTTGCCGATAAAACCGTATCTTGTCATCTTTATCGGTTTTAGTTGTGTCATCGTTTCATTGATGCGTGATATGGCTCATTCGAAGGCGTGGTTTCGAATGCAAAACCCTGAATTTCCGCCCTTCAGATTGCCTCACCCAGTCTACCAAATGATGACAGTGTTTGTGTTCTCATGTTTATGTTTATTTACCAATACAGGCTCAACAATGCATGGGCTACTGTCCCCAGTTTGACGCCCTTCTACCTTACCTTACCGGTCGTGAGACGTTACAGCTGTACGCCCGATTGCGTGGTATACCAGAAGGCTATGTGAACGTCGAAGTCAACCAGCTTCTTCATGATATGCGCTTGTCGCACCATGCAAATGTTCTAGTGGCACACTACAGTGGTGGGAAGCGACGTAAAGTCAGTGTGGCAGTGGCTTTGGTTGGTGGCACGCCAATTGTATGCCTGGACGAGCCAACCACTGGTGTCGACCCCGTATCCCGTAGATGTGTATGGAATCTGCTGCTTCGTTGTCGTCGCCAAGGCCGCACATTAGTCCTCAGTTCACACAGGTATGTCGTGCTTCTTCTTAGGCCAAAGTTGTATCATAGTTCCTCAATTGCTAACACAGTACGCGATGCTCCCTTCTACGGCCAAAAATGAATATCCTTCCGCCCAGATGGCCTGGTTCTGCTCTAGGAAGTCATTGGCTTTCCTAGTTTCCTTCTTTGCTGCACACAACGGCAGCGATGGCTGCCGCTGTCTACTTTTGACCAGCTTTTAAATGTCTACCCATACTTGTAGCCAGCTCTTTCAGAATAGGCACACGTGATGCTATCTTCACCTGGAGCAGCATGATGTGCACTTGCCATGTGATACAGAATGCGAACAGCTCAATCCAGTCAGGGATGTGGACCCAGGTGCTCACAAAAACTCAAGCACCCTTGTGTTTGTGACCTTTCCCTCGCTGTCCTAACGAGGAAGTTACTTTGGATGCTTCGTCGCGTCACACATGAATATTTGAATCGTTCGGAGTTTTGGAGTTTTTATTTAACCCGCAGAAACATCGTCTTGAGCGATGATCTCTACATTTTGAAGGAGATTGTATCTGGAAACCTGAACGGAATATTGCTACCGAGGCTTCATCCATAACAGAGCTAAAGCACAAGATTTTGGGGCTTCATCTTAACACGAGATGACTCGGGTGGATTGTATCCTGTACTTTTCTTGATAGATGGCAAAACCTTGGCAACCGTTCCACAAACCGTGTAAATTGACAGGATACCGATTGAATGGAGTGCATTCGTCATAGTTCCGATGTTCAAAAGGACTATGAAAACCATCGTGACGTCAGGCTGGTAGTCGTGGCGTCCTAAGGTTGCTCATGGCACCATGCTGTCCAAGTTTGTGGATCACCGAGGAGAGTCACATTTATGAGAAACAAGCTGGGTTGGAGGCGCATTCACTGTACTGTCGCCTTAAGACAAGTGACGGACCCATGTTGACAATCAACGGCTGTCGTCTTTTTTATCCGAAGGCTGCTTTTGACTCTGCCGACCATCAGAAACCGATAGTTGTTGACGATTCAAGGTGTTTCATCTTTTTGCCCATTATGAAGAGAGCATGCACCAACCGTTTTGGTTGCCTACTTTCTTATGGCAAGCCTTCACTCCACTTCACCGCATCAACTGCTATCAGTCAGAACTGCCCTCTTTTACCATCCCTTCCTAACTTTGTTATTATATATCCACTTGAAACGTCACTTCATGCCTATGGCACTACAGGTGTTGGACTACTATTGCTCACGTGTATCACACAGATGATTTTTCGCCTATTGAGTCAAGTCCCTCAGGAATGCAGTCCATCTTAAATAAACTAAATATCTGTCACATGGTGGTCTGGTTTGAGCTTTGCACCTGCAAAACGTAAGCACTACTTTTAGACTGTACAGGATCAGTGGAAAACCTCATGCTTGCAGATCAGTCAATCAACGTGGCTAGCTAAATTTATTTGAACCCTGGTGGAGTGACGGTAAACGGATTCACTTCCTAACTAATGAAAGCCACGGCTGCTTTTGACTAACTCAGAAATCTGTGACCCCGGCGGTGAGTCATTTTACTTTTCAGGAGCGGCTTATGCTCTGCAACAGTTTAATTCATGCTATTTCATGGGTCAGAGATATGGCCTTTGTATGCAGAAGGAGAACAACAACTTTGAGCGTTTGGTCACTGGTGCTTTCAGAGCGCTGCTCTGGTATGATTTTGGGGTACGCCAAATGGCTTTCGGAGCAATCAAACTACCCTCAATAAGGGAGCGAGGCACACTCCACAGTGTGAACCGGTTACACATGCGCATCATATCGTAAGATCATTTTCCTCACAACTCAGCCATACTAAAGGTGAAATTGACCAAAAAGAAGTCAGTATGTGACTTGGCAATGAAGTATGCTGCCGGTCCCACAAAACCTCCTGACTATTCGACAGTAGGCAGCTGCTCATCTGAGTTAGTTAGCAACTGGTTAGATCGGGAATCACTCCCGAAGTCAAATTCAGCAGCTGGTAAAACGGGTTGGCGGATGCGTATTCTAGAGATGNAGCTTTGCACCTGCAAAACGTAAGCACTACTTTTAGACTATACAGGATCAGTGGAAAACCTCATGCGTGCAGATCAGTCATTCAACGTGGTTAGATAAATTCATTTAAACCCTGGTGGAGTGACGGAAAACGGATTCACTTCCTAACTAATGAAAGCCACGGCTGCTTTTGACTAACTCAGAAATCTATGACCCCGGCGGTAAGTCATTTTACTTTTCAGGAGCGGCGTGCGCTCTGCGACAGTTTAATTCATGCTATTTCATGGGTCAGAGATATGGCCTTTGTATGCAGAAGGAGAACAACAACTTTGAGCGTTTGGTCACTGGTGCTTTCAGAGCGCTGCTCTGGTATGATTTTGGGGTACGCCAAATGGCTTTCGGAGCAATCAAACTACCCTCAAGAAGGGAGCGAGGCAAACTCCACAGTGTGAACCGGTTACACATGCGCATCATATCGTAAGATCATTTTCCTCACAACTCAGCCATACTAAAGGTGAAATTGACCAAAAAGAAGTCAGTATGTGACTTGGCAATGAAGTATGCTGCCGGTCCCACAAAACCTCCTGACTATTCGACAGTAGGCAGCTGCTCATCTGAGTTAGTTAGCAACTGGTTAGATCGGGAATCACTCCCGAAGTCAAATTCAGCAGCTGGTAAAACGGGTTGGCGGATGCGTATTCTAGAGATGAATGAATGAAACTCAACGGAAACGTCGCTTGTCCCATACTTCTGTACCTGCCTGAACAGTCCCGATGAGGCGAATTCACTAGAGGGGTAGGAGTTCCCCATTATAAAAGTATACCTTGACATAAGGTTGGGAACTGTTGCTATACATTCATGTGATAAACCTCGACACGGGCAAAAAAACGTTTAGGAATCTCAGCAATCTGTTTCAATCTAGATACTGCACCGTATTCATAAGTTTGTTTTCTCAGTGGCCAAGAATCACGTTTTCAATTTTCCTCTCCCTTGTTTTCTAACGCTCGCCACCATAGTATGGAGGAATGCGAAGCGCTTTGTTCCCGTGTGAGCATCGTCGTCAATGGGCGTCTCAAATGTTTGGGCACTTGTCAGCATTTGAAGTCGCGCTTCGGTCGGGGCTACAGTCTCACCATGCAAGTCGCTCCTTCATTTGAGCATCCGACCGATTCTTCCAATTTATCGCTTGTTGGTGGCTGCATGACCGACAGCACGACTATCAGCTTGACAGAGGAGTTGAATCTCATTCGACAGAATGCCATGGATGAAGCAGTGCTCTCGGTCACTCGATTTGTTGATGAGCATTTCCCAAATGCGCGTCTTGTTGCTCGTCATCAGGTAAGGGAATATTTACCCGTAACGTTTGTGTCGATTTTTGTGTGTCGACGGGCTGAATTGTGATCAAATGTTCAAATGATTATCTTCACTCCGTTTGGTCAGTGGAGTATTGACTGATACTGAACAGTTTCATCGAGGCGCCTAAAGTACTCTAGCGTATTGAACGCGGCATGAGGGGTCTTTGGCCTTTGTTGATACATCGTATAAACAAAAGCCACGTATTTTTCAGGGAGTTTAATGTGCGCTTTGATGATCAGGCTGTTTCTTGAGGTGGCATTGCACTATTTATACGGTTGTAGATGATTCCTCCACAGCCCAGTGTCGGCCTCGCCTCATTAGATAGATGTAGCTCCTGAGTTCCAGTCAGTCTTAAAGTCTATTTAAACACCAAGTTGTACGTAAATCCCAACCTAAAGCTGTCACCTGGTCTTGGTTGTCGGGCTTCAATTCTGCAATGATCCTGCGGGCTATACCGGCTGCAACTGAGTTCCCAAAAGTTCAACCATGCTAGCATGTTTATGGTGAGCAGCCCGGCGAATAAAAGTGAGCTTCCATACTGCGAGTAGTTGTGTTACGATGCAGTCTGGAGAAGGACACCCATCGAACGATGAAATGTGATCAACCTATCCGCCTGTCCCTTCCGTGGCTAAACAACTACCTAGACAAATAAACCCAAATAATCATTTACTAACTTCCAAAGATCTGATCTGGGGCGAGATGGCTCAAGTGGTGGAGCGCGGAAATGTGATCAACCTATACGCCTGTCCCTTCCGGGGCTAAACAACTACCTCGACAAATAAACCCAAATAATCATTTACTAACTTCCAAAGATCTGATCTGGGGCGAGATGGCTCAAGTGGTTGGAGCGCGGATTTACCGACCGGAAGGTTCGTGGTTCGAACCCAACCTCTGCCTTTCGACTTCCCCTGTCTAGGCTTGGGCAACCTGGCAGTATCCCAGCCCTCGTGCTTCCTTCGGGTGGCATGGCAGTTGGGCACCGGAAGGGTGTTACAGCTGAGCAAAAAAAGATCTGATCCACGTTGCAGCCTTCAATGTCCGTACTCTATGTCCCATTGGGCAACAGGCATCTCTTGTCGAAACCTTACTTCCCCTAACTATTGGTGTATGTTGTGTCTCCGAAACACGCATGCAAGACATCGCTTCAGTCGTGCACCCCACGCCGCTTAGGTCGATCTCAGATGTTCCAAGCTTCATTCTTCAGGTATCCGGTGATCCTGGTTCATGGTATCTCCAGTGTGGGAGTTGTACTCATCCCCAAGGCTGAAATTGCGTTCCTGGATTAGATACCAGTAAACAGTCGTCTTTGCACTGTACGGTTGTATGGCTCGATTAAGATCAATGCAAGTCGATGTGGTAAACAACATACGTCCTGCAGTTCTGAGACTGAAAAGGACGATTTTTTTTATCAATATTTGTCACAACTATTTCGGTCAGCAAGAAGGACGGATATGGTAAACCTGGTTAGTGACATGAATGCCCAATCTGGACGACCAAGTCCGGAAAAAGCAGAATTAAGTGGTAGATTTGGAGTCGACGTTCAGCGTACGGACAATGAAGAGCGAGTGCTTCAGTCGTGTGCAGAACACCATCTTTTCCGTCTGTCCAGCACGATCTTTCAGTGGAAACGCTCGCATCGAGTTACTTGAAGGTCATCAACCGCAAGCCAGTCATGGGCCATGCGGCTGTCATTTACCGATAGAGAGCCTCAATTAAAGGATGTCGTTCTTTCTGTCATGCTCTCGTGGAGGCCCGATTATCGCTTCTTTTCGTCAGCATTATCCATGTCAAAGCAGAGTAGTTCCGTTCATCAACTTAGACAAATTTCAGTAGCTCAAGGGTATTGAACTGATGTGGCTAGAAAGCCACTGGAAACGCACAGTCATGCGGATGACAAAGAGTAATTGGAGATTGAACGAATGCAAGTTAACTAAGCTATGTTCTCAGCTTTTAGAACAGTTTGTCCAGGCCATCTGACTGGGTTCATTGGACACTGGATATCAGCAGATCTTTTTGCTGCTAGAAAGGCCATACCAGCAACCATCTACTATGATAGTGCACGCATATCCCTGAAACACCGGATAATCAAGAACTTGAAGAATGACGGAGAACGTTGGTTGATTGTGGAGGCCCGGTAGACGAAGACTTTTGCAGCAGGCAACAACCGCGTTTTTCTGTCAAGGGCAGAGTACACACTGCGGCACTGTGATCCATACTGCTTTGTGAATCATAAGGACGGCATCTCCGAGCAGAGGACGTACGGAAGCTGTCAGTGTTGACCATCGGTGTGTCCGAAGCATTGTTCGGGTCTGGTGGGAATGTTGAAGTACGCATTGTTCGGGTCTGGTGGGAATGTTGAAATACTGTTGAAGTAATGTTGAAGTAATGTTGAAGTACCCCAGCTGGTTTTAGGAAGAAGGTACTCTTTCGCCATATTTGAATTACACGTTTGATAGGTTGCGCTGATTGGGACATGTACTTCGAATACCAGAAGACCGTCTGCTTCGCAGAGCTCTTTTCTTCCAGTCCTGAGCTGACTGGAAGTGGCCGATAGGTGGACAATGTATGACCTGGCAACGACGTATGAAAACACTAACCAGTAAACTTAATCCGGTCAACAACTACCGCCTCCCCGGATGGGGATTCTGGGACCCAACTCACCGATGGTCAGTAACACTGACAGAAATGGTTCAATCGTGCGATCACTGGTGCCGTTGCACTAAAGCTATCGTCTTCAATGCGTAACTGCACAGTTCACGAACTAACTGAACATGTCATCGCTTCACTTTCCGGTGTTGGAAACCGTAGCTTTTGGAACTGATGTCATGTACCCATGATACATGGCTTGTAGGTGCGAAATTGGTTGAATTGAATTGATTGTAAGCAAATGGTGAAATGTTTTCATTTGCAAATTAAATTGGTGTTAATTGGGGACTAAGCTGGATCTGAGCTGAATGATTTCTTTCTATGATATTCTTCACGTTATAATCTAGAGATTCATCTGCAATTCTGCGTAGTCTCCCGTTAATATCGAATGGATACTTTTGGTGAATGACCAAGTAATTTTGCTTTATGGTCACTATGAAAGTAATACACCAAATCACTGCTCTACTAGGAATGGTTCGATTTTTCTTCCCTATTAATTTTTTCACTTTGGAAATGGATTACTCTCTGACGCGAGAGTATGGGCCAGTATGACACCCATCTATCGATCGTGCGATTTCTGAGCTAAATTGTGCTTTCTGTACGCATTTTTTTGAAATTATGGTTAATGCATAGTTTTGGTTGAACGTGGCTGCAGTCTATATACCACGCTGGAAACACGATTTGGGATGTTATAGCTATATATACACTATACTATTCTGTACTATACTATACTATGCCATACCATACTATACTATACTATTATCACCTATTTTCGAAGAGCATGGTCACAAACATAATAAGTGAATGCAAGCGATGAATGCGAAAGAGTAACAGGAGAATATGGAAGAAAAGAGAGAAACGTCTCATTCGAAATCATGCCAGGGACAGTGCCAATCTGATGAGGTGAATCCCAAAGTATGTAAAGATTTTGGTATAGAAAAACGCGTCTAAAGACCAACAACCGAAGGAAGGACAAACAATGTTGAATGCTCTCCAAGGCGCGGTAGGCACTAGCACAGTCAAGACTCGCGCATCAGGCATAAAGTGTCCGTCATACTGGGTCTGGTGTGAGATTAAATGGCAAAAATGTACATTCAACGCCATGTGCCACGCATAAAAGTGTCATGAGTACGCAGAGAGTCCACAATGGCAAGCAAACATAAGTCACTTACTGCGACCTTAGGAAGTCCCAGTCCAATAATAGCCTTAGCAGATTGAGGAAAGCAGATCCCTCGATAAGAGGTGATCATCGGTGATCATGACCAAAAAGTCGACATCACAACTGATTACATGTAGGGCTGAGATTATTACGAGGGAATGCAGCTGAATGTTTTAAGCAAAGTGTTCCCTATGTAGTGATGTCATGTAAAGCAAACACACAGTAAAATTTGCGACTGACTTTCAGGTCGTACACATCGAATTTATACTTCAATAGTAGGTTGACAGATAGATCGCTATCCAACGTGCTGTGTGCATTTCCTCATGGTTCGCTTCTAACTTTTGTTCCTAATTTTTCGGAATACCCATCTCACAATCTAACTTTCCATCAAATTTCATTCTCACAACCTCCCGAATACCGTTCAGGGTGTGCTCCAGTACCACTTGCCAATGTCTTTGTTAGAGGACCTGAATCTTAGCGGGATATTCCACCTGATGGAGTCCAATAAGATTCGCCTTGGTTTGATCAACTACTCAGTTAGTCAAACCACCCTTGAGCAAGTCTTCATCGACTTGGCCAAACTTCAAGAAGAACACAATGAAAATGCATCCTCATCTGATGAGCGCTACTGCACTTGTTTTGGCTACAACTTGTGGCGTCACCCACAGCGCTTCCTGCCTTCTCGTTGCTGTCACACTCTTCGCATTCGCACTGTAGAAGTCCCAGAGACAGAGAGCCTGTTCACTTAGTTCTGAATCGGTCTCTCTGTTTCGGTCCACGCAGATATTGAGTGGTGATCATTTTGCACCCCGTGGCTTCACATTACTACATTATCTTGAAGCATCATCATCATTTTGCATAATCTGTATCCTTTCCCTGTCAACCCCGATTGATAATTTTAACTGCATCCCTCTTTACATCTTGTAATTCAGGTTTCTGTGATTCCATTTTTTTTATGTCGATCAGTCAATATTCAACTTCAGTTGTTTTCTGATAATGATGATAAGATGAAGAAGAAGTTTCTTCATACAAGTATCCCGTCTTTATTTTGTTTAACGGGATCTTCTGGTTTTATATTTTTGACAGCGCGTGTTTGAAAAATCTTACCGAGGTAGATCGAACGATTTCCCTTAAGTGGTGAGACATTCACGAAAAGGTCACTTGTTGGTTGGTTCGTTCTAGGCAGGACTATATCCACGTGACAACATAATGCATATTTTTCTCGTTTCTCTCAGTGGAGCCGGAAGCTTCAGGACTTAGTTGAGCCGATCAACCTACAAAGACGGAAAGGCATTCTGAAAACTGACTGATCGAAACTCGGTCTGAGTGAGTGTAATTATAGATGTAGGCACAGAGGCGAAGAGCTAACTAATTTGTGTTGGCTTATACCCTCGTTGTATCGGCGAGATGGACCAAGTGGTTGGAGCGTGAATTTACTGACCGGAAGGTCCGGGGTTCGATCCCGATCTCTGCCTCTTGACTTCCCCTGTCTAGGCTTGGGCAACCTGGCAGTATCTCAGCCATCGTGCTTCCTTCGTGTTACATGGCGGCTAGGCACCGAAAATGTGCTACAGCTGAACGATTGTTGTATCATCACTAATTATGACAGAACCCTAGTCTTTTTCATTTGTAATAACAATACTCAGTCGGCTGTAACACGCTTTCCGTGCATAGTTGCTAAGCCATCCAGAAGGAGCATGAGGGTTGAGATGCTGCCTTGAAGCCGGGGCTGTGTTCGAACCACGGACCTTCCTGTCAGCAAGTTTGCCCGAAGCACTGGGCTATCTGGGTTTCTTGTATTATTTTATATTGACTCCCTCGCTATATCTAAATTAGATTCATTTTCTCGTATAATCTATACTTTCGGGCAATTTTGCGCAACACTAACACGCGCGTGAATTGTTTCATGGACCTTCATGTACCGCTACCACACCACTTCCGTGGTGTCCGCGAACTATGCTAACAACCTCTAAGTAATTCGGCGAATCACTTAGCACATACAGAGTTCTCAACCTCGCTCATAGCTCTGAGCATGATCAGTGCCTCCTGCCTTGGGCAGCCTCATGAAGAATTTTGCAGTTAGGTGTGAGTGCTAGTTGTTTTCAACGCTCTTCGCCTGCTAAATTGGGAATCCGTCCCCTAGGTTTGCAGGGGAAATTAGGTAAAAAACACACCAGATAAGAGCATGATTTGTATTAAAGTGTAGATTTCAGATTGACAGCTGAGGGTTTTAGCCTCACCGTAGGTGACTAATGCACATGCGATCCATTCGACTAAATTATTGCTCTTAGATAGGGAAAAAGGCAGGTAGCATTATCACCTGCACTGCCAGTTTAAATTCGGTACTACTAATGTCATGTGGTGGCACTATGAATTTAGGAAATGCGCACATCATTATTACTGGGTTCGCGTCTCTATTAGCGATTTCACCGAGACTTGTCGCGAGTGGACCGAGATGAGCTGAAATCTTAAGCTGTTATGGGTGTATCTGAATACTTCGCGGTGAGTGATCGGATGTTCGGCTGTCTTTCCTGCATCCGGTTGCTACACTCAGGTAAAGGAGGTATTTTGCACTCGTTTGTGGTCTTCATAAATACACCACTTGTCTTTTGTCCCTCGCAATGAAGGATGCAATATAACAAGATGGCAGATGTGGGCTGTGACGTTCATTTAGACCATTTATCTGGCGCTTGGATCTAGACAGAAGTGGTGAATGTGCGGGACAGGGAGGAAACGAACAATGGGAGTCGTTTTTGCTGTATGCAGTGAATAAGTTTGGACGGTACATGTGGGCCGGAATTTTGTCGGCGCTCCCGAAACTTAACAAGAGAATGATTTGCATCCTCAACCAAACCCTTTGTCGGAAAAGCTTGACTAACCCAGCGTTCTGTGGCATTAACATTAACTCAAACTTCAAAGAGTAGACTGTCGGCTCATTTTTACCGGGCATCCATCCGTTCACCATCATTGTAAGACCCGTTTAAGATACTAAATGGGAGTGTATTATTCACAGGGAAAAGCTATACAACCGAGTCGGAAGTCTTGCGCAGCGTCCTCTTTTAGTCTGGTGCTGGTGCCTTGATTTAGTCGAACTTACTGGACCAGGTAGAGATAAAGCATACCTTCAGTCGTTCTGGTGCTTGGTTTACAATGAAGGGGAATGAAGAGGGTATTCAGTGGCTTTCTTATTGAATCTAATTCAACCATCACTTTTCTGCAGCTTTCTATAAGCTGGTGAAACTAGGATAAGTTATCATGAGAAAGCCAGAAGCTGCACCACAATGAAATATTCATCGCTCATGACTAAATCCGGGCCACGATATCTCGAATATCGTAGCGGCTGAAGCATGAGGCGGCCTGGTGCAGCACATTCAGTTGCTTGGAAACATCAAAACCGAGAGATTCAGCTGGGTTCCGGGTGAGTTCCTCGGAAGACCAAATTAGTTCGCAAATGAGTGTTTTTCGCTAATTTCGTGCAATTTGAGCGACCGCTTAGTGTTCGGCACCGAAGGATCGAAGATAAACTTCTCAACCTGACAGGAGACTGGAATGTGTGCAGATTTGAAGATTTGGCGAGATCAACCAAAATAAAAAGTTTGACCAATTTTAAGGTGGCTGTTCTACCCACTCTAGTAATTTACCTGAATATTAGAAGTCTAGTGATTGTGTTCAATAATACTCCATGTTATGAGGTAAATTGTTTGCAGCCATGCGTCCTTCACATGCTTAGTTTTGACATTATAACCTTTCATATTTGGTCAATCGTTAGGTTTTATATCCACTATGTCCAAATGTGCGTGTCTGGTGTTTTACCATCAGTCGCCTTTCGTACAGAGCCCTGAAACATTGGTGAACTTTGTTTCCGACGGAATAAATTATGAAGCTGAAGAATGCTGGTCACTTATACAGCTGTGAAGAAAAATAAGATAGTCCACAAAAGCATACCCTCCACTCTGAAGTTACAGAGATGTACAGATGGATGGAGACCCTCAAAAGTAAAACCTTTTCAGTCAAGGATCTCAAAGTGCATGTCGAGACACTTGATTTTCTACTAAATTCTGATCAGTGTGTTTTGTGCCGTAGCCAGTAGCCATCAATTCAATCTATTCGATTTATCAGCTATAAACCGTGTGCTATAGGTACATTGGTTCCAGCTTCTACAATTTCGATCACCGTAAAACGGGAGTGTGGTACATAAAACCAAGCGTTGGAGGTGAATACATGTTTTGTTTGTTCAGAAATTGGGTAGCTACGCATTGAAAGCGTCAGCTTTGATGCACAAGCGCCACTGACTGCGGGATTGGGCCGTTTCCGCCAACGTCAGTAACCAATGGTGATTCGAGTCCCGGCGTCGTCAGTAACCAATGGTGATTCGAGTCCCGGCATCGTCATCCAGGGAAGCGGTAGTTGCCCACCCGACTTAGTCTCCTGGTTAGTGATTTCCTACTCCGTTGCCACCTGTCGGTCCCTTCCACTCAGCACAGGGCTGGGAGAAAAGAGCTCTGCGAGGCGGACGATCTTCTGGCATGCGGATCACATGATCCAGCCAGCGCAGCCTATGAAGCGTGAGTAATACATGTATCGCGGGAAAGTAGCCATCAGAAAAAATAATGCTGTCAGCACAATCTAAGTTCATTAGTCTTTCTCCAGTCGTAAATCCGATACCTAGATCCATGGTCCATTGAAGTTTGCGCCACGTAACAACTTTGATGAAAAAAAACCAAAAGATTGAGGAATTGGGGTAACTTCAGCGAACGTTTTTAGTTGTTAGGTGGCTTCTAGACAGTTTACTGCATACCGTGGCCACTACGGAGGTAGAGAAATAGATGATTTGAAAAACTGGTGCGAATTTAAAGATCACCTAACTCAGTCCGGAAGAGAAAACCTATCCTCGAAATTGAAGGTCAATTTTACAAGGAGGAAATCTGCAATGGTATGATTGGCGCTGCTTAGGTGATTGACGTAATGTAGAGATATGTTCCGCCTGATCGAAATTATGCTTGAAGATCTAAGAGTTGTTTGCGTCTTGCTTATCAAAGATAAGTAATACGATATAAAGGAAATTAGTTGTCATGTTGTAACAGGCGTGAGTGTGTGCATCCAATTTGGGTGCCTCATTTGAACACCAGCACGACTAAACTCGGGTCCAAATTGACTAAACCACTTTCTTCTAAAATGAGGGTGAACGACATACTAAGAGCCAAATACGAGCAATGCTCAAGACTGTTGGTTCGATCTATCAGTCACGTGACTCTGGGGCTAGGGTGGATCTAAGCTCCTAGACGGTGGCTATAAACGAGTGAGTTCCATGAAGGGACCAGGTAAAAACTGAAAACCAAGTAAAATACTTCAAAAAATATTTCTCTTATATACCAGATTTGCAGCAGTATAATTGATTTACTCACCCATGTGTTTCTAAGTCCTGTTCTGCCAATTAGATGGAACAGATTGCATGCATTCTCAACAGCACTGTAGTCCATTTATTGAAATTTCTGTCCTCACGGTGCCGGTCTGTCCACAAAAACCTTTCTGAGTGATATATAATTATCTTCTATCCTAACTTTACTTCGAATCAAGAAGGATAGAGCTTCTTTCATGGAAGAATCATAGTGACCATTGTGAGACCCGGTGGGTTTACTGTACAAATCTGGAAAAAGTGAAAGCCGGGTCTTCAGTAAAAGAAAGTCTTGGTTATCTCGTTCAAGCTGCCGTCAATGTCCTTTAAAATTTTTCTCCAAGTAAGACACATGGCACATTGTTTTGTACCTCCCCAATTTACGGCTTCCAATGCTTAAAATTGGCAGATACGCATAAGAGACTTTTTGGATATTACACAAGTATTTTTCATTACGGTTTTACGGGTTAGCAGGGTATGTAAATCGTTGCGCACTGGTGTAGATGCTCATACTGTCGCGAACAGCATGGTGGTTTTGGGACCTCTGATCTGGGTCTACCATTGTGGGTATTAACTTGTTAATTCTACAAGTGTCCTGAAAGCAAAGATTCTTTTTGGATTTCGAGCGTTTTTTGTGCGTTGAAAGGTGCACTTCAACGTATTGCTGAAGAAAGGATGTCTTACTTTAAAATTTGTGTTTGGGCATGTCAGTTATTACTACATATCCCTTCACGGGCATACCAGGCTTTTATCGAGTGAGAACCAGATTTGCGTATCCTCTGATAATAGATTTGGATTGTGACAACTGGGATCCTCCTTTGCTCCCTGATCCTCCGAACTGATGCCTTCGCAGTAGCACCAACACCGTTGTTAATGTCTGCCAGTTATACTGAATTCTAACCACGTCTTTGTAAATGATCCCTCTTTGTTACATCGGTCAAACTCTCAACTATTTCCTTGTCAACTTCTTCGCACGGCACCTTGTTTTTATCATCTCGTTCTGCCGAGTACTGCCTTCCGTAAACCTACCATGAGAGATCTATAATCGATTTCCAATGGCGCATCTTTAGTACTATTATTAATTGTTTATTATTTGTTTTTCCACCCGGGCTTTTCAGTATATATTTACTACCGATACGCGAGCTGACTCGCTGTACACATTTCTTTGACACAAATTCTAACCGTATTTTCGTCCTCTTTAAAGTTATTGGTAAGCCACAGTGTATCACATTCGGCTCAAGGTCAGCTGTCTGGTACTCAAATGAATCAGAGCGTTCTGGTTTCTCCAAACGTCCAGTGAGAACTAAGCCAAATTTTCAAACATCCTGGAGTTGAAAAATAAGTGGGCATAGCCTGAAGCCTTTAGGAACACTAGAGAGACACTGTTCACTTTGCCCAGACAGCTGAATGACTCCCACCTTACTCAGTTTTCCGCGGCCAGAAGATAACCTACTCTGAATCATCATATTTATGCAAAAATAATTTTATGGAATTTCTGACACTGGAAGAATCTGGCATTACTTCATTTAGAAGCCCAGTGAGGTGCACGGTGTTGTGCGAAATCGCGAAATAATGGTGCAGTATCTAAAAAATCGTCCACGCGGCTTATTAGGACAACGTCTTGTGAGGCCGAAGCCGAGAACACTATCAACGGAATATAGTTAAGCGTTCAATCTCCGTTGTTCTTTCTGTTTCCACGTTTGTTCCATGAATTTGGTCATTTCACAGGCCACATTTGGATGGTAAAACCTGGCATCAGACCGGTCCATATCCATCTGAATTTCGGGTTATCGATAAACAAACAAAATACCAGTGGTAGGCTTATCCAACCGTATTCCTGATTTTCTGTTTCAGGTTCCAAATATTTTTTTGTTGGTTCGAGGGCTGCTCGGTTAAGCACCTCCAGAAAGTGTTCTTGATGCGAAGTTGCGCTATTAGTTCATGGAAAACATACTGTCTTCCTCTTCCTCTCGTTGCTCAGCATTTGGTTTGCTAGCCAATGGACAAACTATTGTGCGACGCACCAATGAAAAATGGAAAATGTTTACGTTTCTTGAATGGATTGATTCCATATTGAGTGTAGAGCTTCTGGTGCCGTAGTTCCTTCTTTATGGTCTCTGTCATGATTTCTGCTTGATGAACGAAATTAATTTCTCGAGATGCATTCGTAGTCATTTTTCTTTTGTTTATTAAAAGCCTGGCGTCACAATCAAAAAGGTGTGCTTGAAACAACTAGGCAACATATATGGTTATTCGTTAAAACAATAAGTGTAGTTCAGGTTTAGGGTTAAAGGTGAAGTATGTATCATGAGTAAATATTTGAACAAGAGGTTTATTGGCTGGTAGACTGGGAACCCTGGACTCGCATTTTTGTGGCGCTCAAAAGGCAGGGGCAGTTTTGTGCTAGCCCTTTCAGGACTTACGTATCGAAATATATTGCGATATCTTGAATATCGTTGCCAAATGAATCATGAGGCGGCTTGTATGCAGTACATTCAACTGGAATGCATCATAAACGAGAGATTCAGTTGAGTCTCCCGTGAAAATCAAATTAATTTGCAAATGAGCGATACGCAGGATTTCGGCTCCGAGGTAGCTTCACGGGCCGGGTGGGTTCTTTTGTTCTCGGCGGCTTTGGTTCATTTTGTGGCATGAAAAAAAAGGTAGAGTGCCTCACGTTGCGGTCGCGTTTGTTGACAGCACACTAGTTTACCTTCCATGGCTTGAACAATGGTTCTTCGTGACCAATAAAACACTGGACAAGTTGTTGAGGTGTGGAAAAGGCAGCAACCTGGCAGATGCGACCTGTATCCAAAAGTATACTGGGGCCAGTCGTAGCTTCCGGGTGTTTTTGACAAGCTTTCCCGTACACAAATTGCAGATGAAACTCAGAAACTAGCGGAGGATTAAAGATTATTGTACGATAATTTTTTGTGTGTGAGTCGTATCACTTTATATACAATAAAAGGGCAGAAAGTAGCCAAACGGTCACACTCATTCGCTCAATCAAACACAGGGTCCATTTTCACTGCTAATCAAACTGTTATGTGCGATGGTGCGTGACCAATCGAAGCAACTGGTGTAGACAGTCGCGCTAATGCGTGAACCAAGGGTTGAACTTTCATCATGCGGTGGTACAGCGAATGGGGACACAATTGTCCGTCCCATTTTTCCTGCCGAGGAACGGCGAATTGTGTTTACAATTGGGGACTATCGCCGATCAGTGGCCATATCTATCAATAGCGAGGGAGATTATACTGACAATGTGTGGGTATATTAAGCCACCAACCCAAACCTTCATGTCTCGCCTCGACATTACGACCCAAACTGCTCCGAGTAGTGTCTTAAGTGATCGCATACAAAGCAAAAGCAAACGACCGAAAACGTTATCAGCGGTTGGGCCTTTCAGTCTTAATCAATGTGTCACAAGTTTTCGGCTAAATTAGCAATTGCTATATCGGATTCATCCACTGAAATCACAGCAAACGTGCAGACTACTTTTCTGTCCTCAAACGGCGGTTCAGCATTGCTGCATTATGTGTGGCAATGTCCATATCAGTGCGCCTCGAATTAAGCGCTAGTCACCTTTTCATCATTTAAGCCAACACTATTCACGGTTGTTGGTTATACAGTTCGGTAGATTTATCAGGAATAGCAGCTTTTAGCAGCGGCCTTTCAAAAGAACAAGGTTATAAATGGTTAGCGCTTACCAAATCTTTTTCCTGAAAGCGCTTGTTCCAGGTTGGGTGACTTAATAAATGAATGTGCTTTGCGTTCTATTTTCGAGTTACAATTTTTGTATCATCAGTCACAAATTCAAACTGGCGCTAAATTTGACCAAAAAATATTGTGGAACCTATTCCTCACAAAATTTAGGCGAGCGGGTCCAAACACGACGTAAAATCTAAAATTGAATCTTCGCGCCCGCGCAAGTAGACTAAAAATTAGGGGAATGCAAATTGTGAATAATGCAACGGCTATTTATCCACAGAAAAATTCCTTTTAACTTATTTGCCCACGTTATATCATTATGTTGTGAAGAATCACACTTTCTTTATGGCCCATCAGCTATTCGACTGAACCTTTTGCGCCAAAAATTTCTGAAAAAAATTAGTTTTTGTGCACAAACTGGCTTCATAAGTTTTAACTATTGGAGGAAGTATCGTATGCAAGGGATATTCGGGCACTAGCTTGAAGTTTCGAACTCGTTTTTTTTACAAATACAAACGTCTTCGGTACAGATGACTCAGTCGCTGCAAACGCCTTGGAGGATAGTTTGCTATTGGTGCCGTTAGCTCTTAGGCTTGCTTAACTCGACGTTCCAAGGCTAGAAATCGTTTCCGGGTAATACGTCCACTACTCACATAACTAATGCTGAGCAAGCGAGCTGGAGCGTGCACAGACACCGGTCATCAAATGGGTAATCCAGGTGTACTGACCAGTCCGCAAGCAACGCAGTCAACAAGTAATTATATACTCAGTTTTTCTAACTATAAAGGATAAATAATCTAGCTGTAGCACTTTCGTTGCCGAGCTCTGTATCCAACAAAGGGCGGCACGATGGTTGGGATGCTTCCAAGTTGCTCAAGCCTAGGTGTGAGAAGTCAAGACGTAGAGGCTGGTTTCGAACCTCAAACCTGTCAGTAACTTCGCGCTCTAAACCTGGGACATCCTTTTTTCCAAATATAAATACCAGATGACCGATTTATTGCTTGTGATTGAGGTCATTGAACAGGGGGTATCCAGAGTTGCTGCATCTATTCCAAAAGATACGTCACAAATGGCTCCACAGTGGCGAACTAGGGATTCAAGGGAAATGGCTCCACAGTGGCGAACTAGGGATTCCCTTAAATCCCCCAATCATTTTGCCCCTCATCTACCTACTCGCCGGACAAAGGATAAGAGCGTGAAATTGCGTTCCTCCTGATGTACTCGAGGCTATGAGGGTAAATCAGCGCGAATCTTTACCGGATCATCATCTCATTGAGCTGACTTGGGTCGTGTCTGAAGAGGTCCCTCCAAACCCAATAACGCAATTGATGCTGGGGGGGGGGTGAGGGACTGCATTGCCGGCAATCCCTCCATCGACAACAAAAATGATGAGGGCGAGCATATTCTACAATTGGATTGTGTGTTCTCTTTCTGCAGCCAAAAATTTCATGATCAAATGCAATAAGCGGAATATGACACAACTAATATATATTCATAAACTGAACAATTTTGGTGCCATTTCAGGTTTGTTTTGCTTTGCACGACTCTAAGCTTACTACGGTGTGTAAGATCCGGACGGTTATGGATCTCACAGGACGATTGCCACTATTGGATTATGCGCAGTTCGCAGCCAGTAGTCAAGAGTAGCAGACGGACGTGGGGCAGCAGATGATATATTGAGGACTGATAGGAACTGGTTCTGCAGAAAAACGGATTATTAAGCATCATGAATTAAGAAACGTACAATCAACATTGACGCAATCAGCAGGAGCTGGAAGTAGTCACTGTCGCAGGACGGATTTCTATAGGGGCAACAACAAGTAAGTACCAAGCGATGTACAACATACATGTAGGGGCAGTCTGACAGTGTGAGTTGGCCGTAACGGCGCAGGAGTCAGTACGTTCGGGATTTGAAGGACTGTCTTTCGGTCGGCGTCGACGCATCCGCTCCTGTTGCGTGA